ACATACTAGTGTATAAAAAATGCGTAAGCGGGTCATAGTTACAAAACTAAGTCAGCTACGAATAAAAATGTTCATCATATTTTAGTGTGTACAAGTGAGCGAAGTTTTAAGAAAAACTCACACCTTACTTAGAGTGAGAGTAAGAATTAACACACAAACACACACAAAAGGTTTCTCAGTGAACGCAATTCGTCGAGGAATTCTTCAGTTTACTCCAATATTGTAAAGTAGACAACGACGGGAGAAGGCGCGCCTCGTTTTCTAGAACGCGTATGGGTTTCTGTCGGGTCGGGAAAGGGCTCGTCTGGGAAACCAAAATAGAGGGGATCCAGAGCCTCCGTCGATGGTTCTGCTCTCGCGGCTCACGTCAAAACTCGCAGATCCTCGCCAGCAAGATGCGCCCTTCCCCCCTTCGTGCCTGTCAGGCGGGCGTTTGAGGGGGGAAGGCGGGGACTGCCGACATACAAGGCCGCGGGCACAACTAATTCCGAGAGGGATGCACCAGGAGGCCGCCGCCTTCTCAAAGCATCCCCTCCTCTCGAGAGCCGGGAGACCAACCGAACCACTCACGAGACTCAAGAGACCCGCATGCATGGTCCCGACGAGTGCTCAACTCGTGAAATAAATCATGGACAATGCATAACAGCAAGTAAAAGAAGGGAGGGTACCGCGCTGCCCAAAGGGTTTTCCCTGTACGCCTTATACGCATTCTAGGTCGCCCTCCGTTGCGTGTCTTCCCATGTAATCTATGTTCTACGCTACGGGGTGTGCTGCATCCAGCAGACGCGACCATCTTACTTATCCGCTTCAAAAGCCCTGCACGCTCAGCAGCGATTGCCAACGACAGGGGCGCCGAACTGTCGCTGACGCGCAGCGCCAACCAAGTTCGTTCGTATAAGGCATCATGCAGAAAGTAACACGCCCGTCATTCGCCGTTACGATCTTGACAAGATCATGGAGCTCAGCCTTTGCAAGGCTCTCGTAGCGCCCGATGGGTAGGCAACATCTTGCTTTCAGTGCATGCGTGCATAGCGGGTTGGCCTACCTCGAGTGTCACAGGCGCTGAGCTCCCCTTCATTTGCCGAAAAAGTCTGAGAAAACGGACGTTCTTTCTGAACGATACCATACCTTAACTATCCACGAAAACTTACAAAAGTTCATCGAAGGTTCGTCAAAACTATTTAAATGAAGTTAATTGAAGTTCGACAATAAATACTCTAGAGTCCCTAGCCCCCGTGCTGAACTGTGCAGCAGTGTCTCCAAAGGTTGGGGTCGCATCTTTCATACTGCTCCATTCTAGCTGACTCCCTAGTGAGGAAAAGAGTACACAGACCGCGCACCATTTGACACTGAGACATGACGGACAGCCCAGGGTCGCTTGTTTGCACGACGCCACTGGCAATCAGTTAGCAGAAAGGGAGGGCTTACACCGAGTACACCACCTCCTCACGGCCAACTCGATCCAAACGACGCCATGGCGGTGAAATAATTACATGTCCGGAGAGGCCCTCATCACCCCCCCC